CAGGCGTGCTGACGCGCCTGCCATCGGCAAGACGTCTGCGCCGTCAAAACGCCACAGGGCCACCAGGAGACGCAGCAGATGCAGCAGCTGGCGAGGTTCCCCTCGATGCTCGATCCTCCTGTATCTCCGCCTCCTCCTCGTCCGTCTCCTCCCGAAAAGAAAGAAAACGGGGAGGGGAGGCGGAGGAGGGAGAGGAGGAGGAGGAGGAGGAGGAGGAGGAGGAGGAGGAGGAGGAAGAGGAGGAGGAGGAGGAACAGAAAGAGGAGGAAAACGAGGAGGAGGAGGAGGAGGAGGAAGAAGAGAACAAGGAGGAGGAGGAGGAGGAGAAGGAGAAAGAGGAGGAGGAGGAGGAGAAGGAGAAGGAGGACAAAAGAAGGAGGAGGGGGAGGAGGATCGAGGATCGTGGATCGAGGAGGAGGAGGTGGGCGAGGAGGAGGAGAAGGAAAAGGAGGAGGAGGGAGAGGAGGAGGAGGAGGAAGCAGAATCATGTCAGGGGTCGAAGAAGTGCACTGCGCACACCGCACGAACGCTGGCCGCAATGGCAAGCAATCAGCCGACACCCCCTAAGCGGGTCCGAAAGCGCGCATCGACTAACATGGTATCGGCAGCTACCTCGTCGCCCAGCGACATGCTTCCAGCCGAGAGGGCGAGGAACGTAGGGAGACGGTCGGTTCACCGCGTCACTGCGGGGTACATCCGCGCTGTTAACCCCTGCCCATTCAGCTGGCATGCGCAACTGGGTTTGTTCCCCCGGGTGAGCGGGCACAAGGCCACCATGGGACCTACGGGCCACATGGCCCCGCTTCTCGACCGAATGCGTAAGCCCCCATGCCTGGTACTCAGCTCTAGATCACGGAGCGTGGCTAGCGCCGCTGCCACGGGCAAAATACCACGCGGCTGGTTACGAAAGGCGCAAGCCAGTTTAGCTACCCCCGGACGCCACGTGCAGTCGACTCTGACGGGGTGCCCCGAAGAGTGTGGCGCTGACACCGTGAGAATAAGCGTTTTTTAAAACGCTCGACCTCTGCTTGACCCCCATCGAGTGGGGACCACCTCTCCACACAGCACAGCCAGGAGGCTGAGACTGCAGCGGCAGCGCCACTGTCGGGGCCATGCCCCCGTGGCGCGCCCTAAGCGCGAACAGGGAACGCAAGGAGACCGTGCTCCGCGCTCCCTGATCGGGGTAGGGGGCGCCGGAGCCGTGCTCCGACGCCCAACCGACCCACCACCTACTCCATAGGTGGCCGCGGTTTCGGACCCCGGGACACCCAGGACCGAACCAAAAAAGGGAACACGACACGACGCGACACGACGGGGGGACGCAACGGACGACACGACACGCACGACACGACACGGACGAACGACACGACAGAGACAAGCCGCCGGTCCCGCCCCAGGGCGGCGAGCGCTGGGGGGGTATCCAGCACCGCCCTGGGGGAGGCCACGGGACCTGGCGACCCCCCCGGGGGAAGGAAACCGCACTTTGGCGGCGTCCCCCCGGGTGCGAGGGCTTTTCGCCCCTCGGGCCCGGCGCTCCCCGCCTGCGCCAAGAGGACCCTCGGGTCCCGACCCCTCCCCTACGGGAGGGGCCCCGTCGGGGCACCGTGAGAATAGGCGCCAGGCCCCCAAGGGAGAGGAGGAGGAGGCGGGGGAGGACGAGGACGGAGGAGAAGGACGAGGACGAGGACGAGGACGAGGGCGAGGACGAGGATGAGGATGAGGAGGAGAGGGGGGAGGAGGATCGAGGAGGAAGAGGAGGATGCGTCTGCATCAGCGCGGGCGTTCGGCCGCGCTGGCGCACGAGCGCGCCCACGCGCTCGAGCGCGAGTCAAATGACCCGCTTGTGACCGCCGAGGAGCTCGGCGGCGACGCCGTGGCAGCTGCCAGTGGTGCGAGGGTATGCGGGGCCTCCTCCCTCCTCGCAGCTTAGGGCAGCTCGTCGAGCTTCTCCATGGCGATGGGAAGTTTCGTCGAGATGCCAAGGGCCATGGCCTTGGCTAGCCTGGCGATGACCAGCTTACCCTTGGCCCCTGGCTCGCCACAGGCGCGGGCGAACGAGGAGCTCCTCGCCGCGCCCGTAGCCCCGCAGACGAGGCATGCTATTAGCACGGGCAAGTCCTTCTGCAGCTGCCCTTCAGCCTGCGGCATGACCTGCACCAGCACGTGCGCCAACTGACTTCGCTTGCGCAGAACGCGGATGTGGTCGATCGCCGCCCCGACGATCGAGCCGGGGCACTCACTTGCCAGCTGCGCCCAGCGGCACCTGGCACACCAACGCGCTCCAGGCGAGGCACGCAGATCGCACTGGCGCTTCGCCGACACCTCCTCGGTCACCCCAGGAAGACGAACTTGCTGTCCACGATGGCCCGCACGGGCGGCACGGCATGCCGAAGCGTGGCCAGCAGCGCCGCCAGCTCACCACCGCTGATGTCCGCGAAGGCAAACACAGCACACCTGAGACACCAGCGTGGAACACGTCGGCGTTCTCCTGCAGCACAAACGCCGCCCAGCCCACGCTATTGTACTGCTGGAAGTCGCCCTCGTACGCCGAGCAGTCCAGGTACACGTCGCCACAGGGAAGCACGCGATCGCCAGCCTGCCCGAGCCAGCATAGCCCAGTGGGCCGTGGGGGCTTGGCGATGCCGCTGGGCGCTGGCCACAGCACACGCTCTCGCTGAGGTCAGCCCTGTCCGCGAGCTCACTCACCTCACATATACGCCACCTCCCATTTGCCAGCCTGCACCAATAGTAACGACTTTAAGCCGCTGAGTTGCTTCCTACACCTCTGAACGGCACATCTCCTCCTGTGCCTTCCTAGCGTCGCCTGCTCTGCATCTGTTTTGCGTCCTTCACCATAGACACTGCTTAGCAGTCCTGGTGGGATGGGCGGCTATACTGAGGTTCGGGGGGTACACCTCAGGACGGAGAGGGTGTGGGAGGCAGCCCTTCAGGACGGAAAGGGTGTGGGAGGCCTCGGGGGTGCACCAAGACAAAGTTGCGGAGTTTCGGGGCCGCGGTCCGCCGGAGAGGAGGAAGAGGAGCAGGAGGAGCAGGAGGAGGAGGAAGAGGAAGAGGTCAGGGAGGGGTACAAGGGTGCTTTCAGGCATTGCAGCGCTACTCCTTGCACTACGGCCGCCTGCACCCACCTTCGCACTAAGACGACGCTACTAGGCGGGCCGCCTACTGTTGCACGTGCATCTCGTTCCCTCTCCGTTCGGTTCGTCCTCGGAGTTGATCACTTGGCCAAGGTTAGCGTTCGATTGGTCCCTCATCCTCTCATACCGCTTGGCTGGCCCATACTCCGAGCCCTTGGGCGCCCTGTTCTTTTCCAAATCTTGTTGCCTGTCCCGTTCGGCTGCGCCAGCCAGGTCTAATTAGTTTTTCCCTCCGCTAAGTCGGCGTTCTCATTCTTTCATGCATCTGCACTGACGCAACAGGGTTCGGCCCCAAGTCCGCGCAACGTCAAGAAAAAGAGGAGGAGCAGGGGAAGGAGGGTCGAGGAGGAGGAGGAGGAGGATAATCGAGGAGGAGGATCGAGGAGGAGAGGGAGGAGGAGGATCGAAGAGAAGCATCGAGGAGGAAGAGGAGGAGGAGGAGGAGGAGAAGGAGGAGGAGGAGGAGGAGGAGGAGGAGGAGGAGGAAGAGGATCGCGGAGGAGGCCCTGGCCGCCGCGCTTCGGGCGCACACGGCCCGGGAAGGGGCAGCGGAGGCCCCCCCCACGACGGCTCCGACGTCCCCCTCGGAGGGCCCCCATGCGAGGGGGCCGCCGCCCCAGGGGAGGGGCGCCGCGGCGGCGGCGGGAGCACAGGCTCGGTGGCAACTCTTGGGGGCCTCACGCGCCACCTGGTCGGCCCCTGCGAATCGACGCACGTCGACGCTAAATCGACGCTTAATCGACGCTAAATCGACGCTAAATCGACGCCAGCCGACGCTACATCGGCGCTGTCTCATCGACCCCCAAGCGCTACTCGACGCCAGTCGACGGAACTAAGAGGGCATGCCAGGCCGCAATGATTTGCGACCAGACACAGGGGCTGTACCACGGCCAGGTGAGCGACGAAAATACATGGGTCTCGAGCAAGATGGCGTGGCGACCTTACGCGGCGGCTTATGCGGACCGCGAGCGCGGCACCTGCATTGGAAATGAGGGCGCGTACGCGGGAACTTGCGCTCGCAACTTACGCGCCAATGCCTGCGATGACGAACCCGCTTTCCTCCGTCGCTCAACTGCCAAGAAGAGAGGGCGGTCCCAGGGAGCGTGAGGGCACAGTGCCCCCACCGGTGCCAACACATTCGAAGGAAGCCCCTTGAAGAAGAGGACCGCTGCCCCAGGTGAGGGACAGCGCGAGGAGAGCTCCAAGCGATACACCACCAATAGCTCTGGCAAGGCCCATCCTGGGCCCTGGGCTGGTGTACAGGCACGCCCGGAGGTCTATACACCAGCCCAGGGCCCAGGATGGGCCTGGCCAGGGCTGGTGGCGCATTGCTGGCGTCCCTCCGAGGCGCGGCCGCGGGGGCGGCAGCACAGGGGCTGGAGCGCGGCACGCGCGGGGCGCGAGGAGGGGGGCGTGCGGGCGCAGGTCGGCCGTCCCTCGGCACACCCACACGAGTACTCCTCCTCGTCCTCCTCCTCTCCCGAGGGGAAGGCAAGAGATGGATGGGGTGGCCATCGGTCTGGAACTGGACGACGCATTGCCGACATATTGCCAGCAGCCCCTGAGCGGAGCCGCGGGTCTCTGGGCATGGCGGGACATACGCGCCCCCTTATCGGAGACAGGTGGGCGATCTGGAGTCGGCGTTTCCCTATACCGCGGAGGGCGCCAACTGTACACCCGCGCCTGTCCGGGCCAGGCCACAGTTGGGCCCGACGTCGTACATCGGTGCGTAGGCCCACACCTGGCTTGGCAGAAGATTGGTCGGGCCTGGATCGGCGCAGGCGTGCAGCTGGCGTCCCCCAGTGAGCCCCTGAGCCTGCTCCCCCGTTCTTCCCCCCTCCTCGCCTCTCGAGCTTTGTAGACGACTGTGCCCTCGAACGTCTCGCCTGCCTCCAAATCTTCGCTGGCCTTCTGCGGCTTGGGCACCCCGGCCACGGACACCCAGGTGGTCAGAACACCTCGGTGTTCTGTCACCTTACAGGACAAGACAAGGCACTGGCCCACACTCCACGCTGCGTGAAAATCGCAGGGGGTCCCCCGCGCCTGTTGGCATGAGGACAAAAAGCTTGACATCCATCCTGGACCGTAAAGCTTCTCCCAGGACTATTGTCTCGTTCTGGACCGTTTCTTGACGGGCCCCAGCAGGGCCTTGCAAGGCCCCGAGATGCCGAAAACGAGGGGAAAATGACACCCACTTCCACACAACCCGTTTCCCTCATGTCTCCCACATTCAGGGGTCCCCAGAAGTCCCTGGAGGCCTGCAGAAGGCCCCACCCAAACACCGCACACAAATTAAAAAACTGCGATCCTCGACCCTTGGACGTCGATTCTCTTCGGTTTCCCCTCTGGGCTCCGAGCGCCAACCGCGAACAGCAATCACCAGGGTGTTCCCTCAGGCCATGGGTCAGAGCTGGAGGAGGAGTGGGTCTTTGGGGCAACGCGGTGCCCTCTCGCGAAATGGGTTTCATTGGTTGGGCTGTCGGCGCGGGCGACGTCGAGCCAATGATACATACATATACATATATATATATACATATATATACATACATACACATGTGCATGCGAATCACTATGTATTTATACATATGTATATATATACATATATATATATATATATATATATATGTATAGATATGTAGGTATATTCCTCTTATGATATGTTTGCAAATCTGGGGGGTGGGAACACCCCTTCCCACACCTCAAACTGGAACCCCAAGATCGCGAGTTTCTGTGCCCCCCGGGCATCCTTGCCAAAGGTCCTCCGACTCGTCCCCGACCTCCCAGGGCGCTTAGCCAGGTCCTGCCAGCAGGCCCCAAGCGATCAGAGCGGTGATCAGAGAGGCCGAAGAAAGACCCAAGACAGCACAAGAGCGCTCCAAGAAGGACCCAGAGGGCCTCCAGAGGCCCCCAAGACGGCCCAGTAGGCCCTCAACAGGGCTCCCAGCATGCAATATCCTTTCACTCCCTTTAGGAAATCGTGCATTTTCAGCACATTCGCTGTTCGGGTCTTAGCAGCGTCCAAAACAGCCAAGACGGCCTCCAGTTTCGCCCCAAGACGGCCCAAGAGACCCCCAAGAGAGCCCATAGACGGCCTGGATGGCCCCAAGACTGGCCAAGGAAGCCCAACTGAGCCAAAAAGAAGCCCACAGGCTCTCACAAGGCCCCGAAGCGATCAGAGTGGTGATCAGAGAGGCCGAAGACAGACCCACGGCAGCACAAGAGCGCCCCAAGAAGGACCCAGAGGGCCTCCAAAGGCCCCCAAGACGGCCTAGGAGACCCTCAACAGGACTCCCAGAATGCATGAATCCCTTCACTCCCTTCGGATGACGTACATTTTCAGCACATTCGCTGTTCGGGTCTTAGCAGCGTCCAAAACAGAAAAGAAGGCCTCAAATATCGCGGCCGAAGAGACCCCCAAGAGAGCCCAGGAAACCCCGAATGAGCCAAAAAGAAACCCAACAGGCCTTCACAAGGCCCCCAAGAGAAGCCCAAGATGGCCTTGGGAGGCCCCCCAAAGACCATGGGAGGCAAACGCGAGGGCCTACGTAGCTTCCGTAAGGTCCCTGGAGGGCCCAAACTCCCCAACACGGCCAAAGATGGCCTCAAGACGGCTCGAGACGGCCCCAAGACGGCCGGCCCACCAGGGCTCCAACGAGGCCCACACGGCGTGTTCCACCAAACTGGCCCGAATCCCGGGCTCGCAACCACAAATCCTGGAAATCTGTTGCGAATCCGGGATTGGGTGCATTCCCTAAGAATTACTTGCGTTCGCGTGCCCTGGTGCGACCCGCTGCAACCCGCTGCAACATTATTCGCCGTCCCTCGACGCCCTCCTCCTCCTTTTCTTTCTGCCGCTCCACGTGCTCCCCCACATCCATTTCGTTTCCCCCCTATCCTTCGCCCTCCACCCTGCGCCTTTCGGGAGCCCCCGGAGGCCCTGGAAGGGTCAGAAACCGCCCGAACTTTCAAAGACTTCTGAACACCGCACCGCAGGAAGGGGTCAAATTTCCAAGGCCACCAGGGATGGCGCGAATGACCAACATTTGCAAAGCCTCAAAGACCAAGGTGCATGGCGCGAAGCGCCTATGCAGTCTTGTATCTGTATATACATATATACATATATACATATACATATATATATATATATATACATACTAGAACCATCGAGCGCGCTTCGCGCGCGCTCAGGTTCTAGCCCAGGCCGGGGGGGCCGCTGGACGATCTTGGACAACGCTATCAAGCACATGCGCGCGACGGCATCTGAGGAGCTTCTGGGGTATTCTGCATGCTTCGTCAACTGGCTGTTGGAGGCACCTCTTGGGTGCTTCTTGGGGGGGCGTCTGAGGGTCCCTTGGGGGCATCGGTTCTGCAATCTGAAGCCGTCATTGGCCGTCTTGGCTGCGTGGAGGCCCGACTTAAGGCCACCTCCGGCCAGATTGAGGCAATCCGGAAGCCTCCCGGGGGCCTCCTAAAAGCAGTTTTGACGCATCGAGGGCACTCTTGGGCTATTTTAAAGCCTCTTGGACGTCTCCTAGGGGCTTTTTAGGCCCTCGGGAAGCTTTTGGGGTCCTCGTCGGACCACCTGGGGGCCTCTTGCGGCCTCCTGTGGGCCTTGTGGGGGGACCGCTCTGCTGTTGGGTCGCGTTCCCCATCTTGGGCCTCTCTTGGGGCTCTTGGGGCCGTCTCGGGTCGTCTTGGGCGCCTCAAGCACCGTCTTGGGGCCCTCGCGGGCCGTCTTGGAGCCCTCTTGGAGGCCTCTTCCTCTATATGGGAGCGATATTGGAAGCCTCTTGGGCCGCCTTGGAGCATCGGGATGCCGAAAGACCGACAAAAATTAAAGCCCGTCAAAGCCCAATTGTAAAACAATGAGTTGTGCCTCTTGGGGCCACCTTGGGAGATCTCTTGAAACCTCGTCGGCCCTCCTGGGAGCTTCTTGGGGGCCTCTTGGATCCGATTGGCGGCCTCTTGGGACTTCCCGAGAACCTCTCGGGGTAGAAAGCTCGGATTCTCGGTTCGTGTTTCCCTTCTTGGGCCTCTCTTGGGGCCGTCTTGGGGCCCTCTCGGGCCGTCTTGGGCGCCTCAGGCACCGCCTTGGGGCCCTCTTGGGCCGCCCAAGGCCATCTTGGAAGCCTCTTCGGCTATCTTGGAGCTGTCTGGGAGGCCTATTCCTCCTCCTCGTCCCCCTCCTCCTCCTCCCACTCAAGCTCTCTCTCCTCCTGATCTTCCTCCTCCGCCTGCATCGTGTTCCGGAAGGCTCCCGCCGGAACATGCTGTGCACAAGTGCTGTCACTGCTCCCGCAACCGTGCCCTGGGTGGTGGGTCAGAGGCCTCATGGGTGCTGGTTTGGATCTCGTGGTTGGCCTGTCGGGGACGTCGTGAAGGCAATTTCGCAGCTTCTCGGTAGCCGTTGTGGGACCGTTGTGGGGCCTCCTCGGGGTTGTTTTGTGGCCTCTTTAGGCCTCGTTTGGGCCTCCTGGGTGCCTCTTGGGGGCCTCCTGGGGCCTCTTGGGGGCTCCTTGGGGCCTCCTGGGGCACTTTTCAAGCGGGAGGGTCGAATTTTGGAGTCGTGGTCCCCCTCTTGGGCGCATCTTGGGGCCGTCTTGGGGCTCTGTTGGGCTGTCTTGGGCGACTCTGGGGCCGTCTTGGGGCCCTCTTGGGCCGTCTTGGGGCGCTCTTGGGGGCCTATTGAGCCGTCTTGGCACGTCGGACAGCCGAAAAGACTGGAAGGCCGAAATCGTTCGAAAACCTTAGCAAAACTAACGATTTCGGCCTCTTGAAGCGCTCTGGAGAGGCGTCTTGAAGCGTCGTGGAGTGCCTTGGAGGGCCTCTCGGGCCGTCTTGAGCCTATCTTTCACGCTACAAGGTCTCAGAAATGAATCCTGAGTGGATTTTGAAACACTCTGCGGGAACGAAGAGCCCGGAGAGACGCGAGGAAACCTCGTGTGAAAATCGCAGGGGAAATGTAAATTGCCCGTGCTTCCCAACGATCGTGCGTATCATCGGCTAGTGTTGCCGGCCTTCCCATGTGATTTCAACGCGTGCACAATGTATATAAAAACCACCACCTCACTCTCCCCCTCCTCGGCCTGGTCCTTCTCCTCGTTCAGCAGTGCTGATGTTCGTTACACTCTACGGGGAAGAAGGCGCCCTAAATTTGGCTAAGGCATGGGTACGCAAACCTTAGTTGTGTTACAATCTGGAAGCACAGCCCTTGCAGGACTACGTCTTCTCAGCGGCAGAGTTGCGTGCGCGGGGGCCCCCTCTCGCGCTTGTGACCTTGATTGAGCGCCTGCCCCCAGGCCGGGCGAGGTCGCGGGCAGTTGCGTTGCGAAACTTTCGCGCTGCCCGCTGTTGATACCCTGCGCACATGGCACGCAGCTCGACCTCAAAACCTTGCAGTCTATTCTTCCCTCAGTAGTCCTCCCATAGCATATTGCCATCCATGTCCACCTGAGAAGGTGTGAAATTCGAAGTGGATTTCGGGTGAATTTCGAAATGGATTTCGACGTGGATTTCGAAATGGACTTCGAAGTGGATGTCGAAAGTGGATGACGTGGATTTCGGGTTCGCTTTCGAAAGTGGATTTCGAGGTGCATTCGAAGTGGAAATCAGGGGTCGATTTTTTGGCACCCCTCACACACTTGACCGCCCTCGCAAATCCATTCGAAATCCACATCGAAATCCATATCGAATTTCACACCGAGAATCCGGCGCCGGTTGCCCCTTGCTGCGCCCTCGGTGCCGGGCGCCCCAAGGAGACCCAGCCTGGCTGGGCGCAACAGACATGGGCGGCGGCTCTCTGCGGAGGCCGTGCAAGGCCGGCGTGATCTGGCGGCCGTTCCAGGTGAACAGGGGCCACGGCGCCATGCCTTTCGGCGCATCAGCCCGCGCGGCGGTGCATGCCTCTGAATGCCGCGCGGACGTCTGGGATTGCGAGACTTCCGTCCGTGGTCGAAGCTGTCCTCCAGGCGTGG